TCTCTCTCTCTCTCTCTCCGTCTGCCTGTCTGTCTGTGTTTCCTGCCGTCGTTGCAAATGCGTAGCGAGTCTATTCCGTCCAGCGAGTCATGCCTGCCATCACGCAAGAGATGCTGCGCAAGCGCGCGGAGTTTGTGCGCACCGGTGGCCGCGGCTCTGTGCGCCGCACCGTGAAGACGGCCCACCGCACCACTGGTGACGAGAAGAAGGTGCAGACGGTGCTGAAGCGCCTCGGCGTGACGCCCTTCAACGAGATCGACGAGGCCATCTTCTACCGCCAGGACGGCTCCGTCTTCTTCTTCGACAAGCCGAAGGTGCAGGCCTCCATGCAGTCGCAGTGCTTCGTCGTGTCAGGCCCGTACGAGACGAAGGACGCCAGCGAGGTCGCCAATTAACGGATGGGGTTCCGCACGGTTCTTCTTTCTCTTTTCTCTTTTTTTTTTGTGACGTCCTCCNGACGCCAGCGAGGTCGCCAATTAACGGATGGGGTTCCGCACGGTTCTTCTTTCTCTTTTCTCTTTTTTTTTTGTGACGTCCTCCGGGAAGCAGGAAAAAAAACAAAACAAAACTATAACAGCAGGGGACTGCGTGTGTGTTTCGTCGTAGGTGCAGCCTTCTGGTGAACGCCTCGGTGGCGCCTGCTGCGCCCTTCCAGCAGGCGTGCGCCTGTGTGTGCGTGTGTGCTGGGCGCATGCCGCATCATATGTTTTTGCCATCGTCAGCCGCTTGTTCTCTTTCCTTCCGTTTTGTTGCTTCGCTTCTGGTGCGCACATACGCGCAGAAGTTTTTTTCTTTCTTAGCGTGCTTGGTGGATTGCGACGCACACAGACGAGCGGATACGTGCATAACAACATGCCAACCGAGGAGGCGGCGGTGGCGGCGCAGCAGCGAGAGCAGGAGAACTGTGAAACGCCACAGCAGCAGCTGCTGCCGCAGCGCTACACGTACAAGTCGGGCGCCGTCTATGAGGGCACCTTCAATGGCACAAAGCGCCACGGCCGCGGCCACTGGCACCACCCTGGCGGCGAGACGTATGAGGGCGAGTACGTCAACAACAAGCAGGAGGGCATGGGCGTGTACCTCTTCGCCGGCTCCGGTAAGCGCTACATAGGCCACTGGAAGGAGGGCGAGATGGACGGCGAGGGCGTGTACTACTACTCCCCCGACGGCGGCACGTATTACGTCGGCGGCTACGCGCAGGACAAGAAGAACGGCCGCGGATGCTACTGCTACGAGAACGGCATTGTTACAGTGCAGGGGTGGCTGCAGGGCGTGCTGCAGAGCGAAGTGGAGGCGACGATGATGCAGCGCGTGGAGGCGACGCTGCACATTGAGGCCATCACTGCGGCGGTGCGGGGCGTCGCGCCGACGGAACTCGGCGCCCAGCCGCCACCGTCGGAGGTGCGCACGTTTCAGTTCCCGTCTGGTGCGACCTACACCGGGCAGTACCACGGCACAAAGAAGCACGGCACCGGCTACTGGCTCCACCCGGAGGGCGACAGCTACGACGGGCAGTTCGAGCAGAACAAGCACAGCGGGTGGGGTGTCTACTTGATTGGCCGCAGCGGAAAGAAGTACGTTGGGCACTGGCACGATGGCAAGATGAATGGTGTCGGCATTTACTACTTCAACGCAGAGGAGACAGAGTACTTTATTGGTTCATACAAGGACGATGTGAAGCACGGCCATGGCTTCTACCGTTTCGCGGAGAGCGGCAACAGCAAGCTGCAGCTCTGGGAGAATGGAGCCATTAAGGAGGAGTCCGACGCAGAGGAGGCGGTGGTGCAGCAGTACCAGGCCGCAATGAGAAAGATCATCGAAATCGTGCGACCATTTGCCACACACTACGTGCCAGCCATAGCGCCGTAGCGTACTGGAATGCCTTGCTCACAAGTAAAGCCGTGCGCCCCCTGCGTCTATTCCTCTTTCTTTATTCTGACTCGAATGCGAGAGCGGCCGATTTCGCTGCACTCAGACGTGTGTGTGTGTGTGTGCGCGCAACCCCATAAATCTCTCCTTGCCCGCATCTGCAGCGCTGCTTTGTCCCTGATTTTCTGTTGCCTTCTCTCTTTTTTGCTTTGCCACGCGCATACACACAGCACTTGCTGTGCTGTCTGCGGAAGGCGGACACACTGGCCATGACGCCGCTCGGAAAGAAGGAGCTCCTCGCGTGGGCGTCGGAGACGAGCGGCATTCGCCCCTGCAGTAAGTACGCCGACCTGCGCGACGGCGTGGTGCTGCTGGCCCTTGCCAGCCGCCTGTTTCCGGCGGGCGTCGAACCTCGCACCCTGCGCCGCGGCCCGGACGACGTGGAGCGGAACTGGGATGCGCTCCGCTGCCTCATGGCGCAGCATCGACTGCCGCTGCACCTGTGCGACCGCCACGCGGTGGCAGCCGGTCACGCGCGGCACTGCTTCAACATGCTGGTGCTGTTCTACTTCCTCACAAAGCTCGCACGCGACTCGGACTTTTGCGTGGACTTCGCGAACCCTATCGACCCCGGTATTGCGGAGTTTCTCCAGTCACCAAAGAGCCTTATCTGCGTCGGGAAGGTGCCCGCAGGCGAGGCGGGGACGAATAGTGAACTTGCCCCCGATGAGACGACCACGGCCGCCACATCCTCGTCTGGACTTCCATGTGAGCAAGAACACCAGCAACAACAACAACAACACCAGCAACAACAACACCAGCAACAACAAAAACCTTTGACCTCTTTACCACCAGCGCCCATGCAGCGTGCGGCTTCGCTGGCGTCCTCATTGCCGATGGGTGGAGACGAGTTGGAGCTGCAGAGCCTGCGGGCGCGCAACGCGCGGCTGGAAGAAGAACTCGAGCACGTGCGAGCTACGTCACAGTTGATGCTGGCGCAGCAGCGTGGCCTTGTGGCTAGCGAAGTTGCCCGCACGGCGGAACAGTTTGAAGTGCAGATGGCGCTGCTGCGGCTGGAGCGCGACCACGAGGTGCGGCAGTGCCTTATTGACGTGCGCGAAGAGTACGACAACTTCCTCCGCGCGATGGAAGGCGATTCGGCGTCGTCGTCTGCCGTCGTTAGAGCTCTTGAGTGCAAAGTTCAGGTCCTCGAGCGCGAGCTGGCCGAAACGCGCGGCACAGCGTTGCAGCTGCAGAATGGTCTTACCACACAGCGTGACCGCCACGACGCTCTCGCGCAGAGGATTCAGGCCATCTGCGCCGCCGCGCCCGCTGCTGCGCCCGACGACCGCGAAGTCGTGGCGGCCATCACCGTGCTGCTGGAAGGACAGCCGCAAACAGTGCGGGACGCGGTGGCGCTGCGGCTCAAGGCGCTGATGTCGCAGATGCAGGGACTCCGCTGCGAGGCGGAGCGCTTGCGGGGGCGCGAGGAAAGAGACAGTGCCGGCGGTGGCGGCGTAGGGGAGGTGTGCCGCCTCCGCGTTCAGCTGGAGCGGCTCAAGCAGACCAACCACTTCTTACACCACCAGCGGCGTCAACAACAACAACAGCAACACCAGCAGTTGCAGCAGCACGACTGGTATGCGGTGCCGCTAGCGGACGCCCTGGAGGCTCCGTCCTGCACGATTGACTCTGAGACGTGCGACGCCATTTGCGCGCGAGTCAGCGCGGTGGTGGAGGCGCACACTCTGGCCGACTCTGCCGTGCGCAAAGAAGTGCAGCGGCTCGTTGACACTGTGCAGATACTCCAAGCTCGGGTGCAGACCGCCAGCGCTGCTCTGATAGCGTACCGGGACAAGCAGCAAGGTCTCTATGAGCAGCTGCTGTGCGCTCAGCAAAACAGCGAGTTGGAGGCGCATGAGCGGCAGCGCACAGTGGAAGCAAAGTTGGACGAGCAGCGCCTCCGCATGGAGGCCAGCGAGGCGGCTCTCACCACCAAGCTGCGTCTCGCAGAGGAGCGCTGCTCGCGGCGGGAGTCCGCCATGAAGATGCTGCACGAGCGGGTCCGTGACATGGTGTGCTCAGTGCTCAAGCAATCCAGCAGCAGCAACGGCAACGGCAACGGTGGTGTGGCGCTCGCGGAAGTGCGGGACACACTGCAGAGCATCATGGCGGAGGTGACGGGCTCGCAGCGTACACACGAGTCGCTGGAGGCTGCGCTGACGGAGTTGAGCGAGGAGACCGCAAACCTCCGCCATCAGATCGCGTTGCGCGGGCGGGAGGTGGAGCGGCTGCAGTCCGCACTCGCGGAGGCTGAGGCGGCGCGGCGGACAGGGCAGGCACAGGTGGCAAGGGTGAAGGCGGAGGTCGCCACGCTGCGTGATGCCATTGCAGTCGAAGTAGACGCGTGTCGCCGTTACATTGGTCGGGTGGGAGAGTTGCTGCTGACGGCGGAAGAGCTGCCGCAGCCATCGGCGGTTGTGGCAAGTCGTACTGCAACTGCGGCTGCTAGCGTCTCCTCCTTTCCCCTGACGGAGGTTTACAGGAACGGAAGCCGAAGTACCACCACCACCACCACCACCACCACCAGCATTGGCAGTAACAGTATCGGCGGGAGGGAGGAAGCGATGGAGGAAGAACATGCAGACGGAGTAGTAGAAGCAGAAGCCACATCAAGAACCACAACAGCGACAACAACGTCAAACATTAAGGCACCAGCGGGTGCTGCTGTGGCGAATCTAACCCCGTCGCTGTTGTCTCCAGAAGAGTTGGAGCGACGCAAGATGGCGATCCTCAGCAAGTATGGATTCTCGAGTAGATTAGATCACTGAACGTCTGTGTTTTCGTTAGGTGGGAGCAAGCGGTGTATCATTACGAGTTCAACCTCTTTCCCCTTCTCTCGTTTCTTCCCATCTACACAGCAGCGCGTGACGCGCGAAAAGAAGCGTAAATGGGAAGAAACGCAGCAACAACAGGCGTGCAGGTGCCCTCTGGTTTCTGTCAGCCTTGCTGCACCTGTGCATCTGTTCTTTCTTGCTGGGGACTCTTTTTTCTTTCCGTTCCTGCTCTCCTTTCTGTGCGTGCGCTCTCTATCCCCGCCTTGTTTCACTTCGTCCTGTTTATTGCACGTGTGCCCACAGTTAGCTACACTGCCCGCACAGATGTCGGCTCCGCTCCGTCGCACCGTGCTCCACAGCTTCCACCTGAGCCGCAAGGCCCGCATGGGCCCCTTCGCCGGCTACGAAATGCCCATTCAGTACCCGGGCGGCGCCTCGCGGGAGCATCTGCACACACGTCGCGCCGCCGGACTCTTTGATCTCTCGTACTTCGGCTACATCGAGCTGCACGGCGCGGACCGCGAAAAGTTCTTCGAGTGGTTGACACCGAGCTGCGTGTCGGAGCTGCCGGAGGGTCAGTCGGCGCTGACGATCTTCATGAACGAGGCGGCCGGCGTGAAGGACGACTGCATCGTGTCAAAGCTCCCTGGCCACCTGCTCGCCGTGGTCAACGCGGGCTGTAAGGAGAAGGACGTCGCCCACCTGCGTGCGCGGCTAGCAGAGTTCAAGGGAGACGTCACCCTTGTGGAGCTCGACCGTGCGATGGTGTCGCTGCAGGGTCCTATGGCAGCAGCAGCACTCGCGCCGTACGTGGAGGACCTTGACAAGATGCTATTCATGCGCTGCCGCCGCAACGTCCGCATCAATGGAATTGACACCACTCTGACACGCTGCAGCTACTCGGGCGAGGATGGCTTTGATATCATCATGAAGCCCGAGGACGCACTGCCGTTCGTCGAGGTTCTGCTGCGGAATCCCGAGGTGCAGATGTGTGGCCTCGCAGCACGCGACAGCCTACGCATCGAGGCGGGGCTGTGCCTCTACTCGCACGAGTTGGCGGAGGACATCGACCCGGTGGCCGCACGCATCGCGTGGTGCGTGCCGCGGCGCCGCATGGCGGAGGGCGGCTTTATCGGCCACGAGCGCCTCGTGCAGCTTGTAGCGCGCCCGAAGGAGCTTGTCCCACGGGTGCGCGTCGGCGTCACGTCCGTCACGAAGGGACCGGTGCCGCGCACCGGAATGCCGATCCTCCTCGACGGGAAGCTGGTCGGCGAAGTGACGAGCGGCGTGCCGTCGCCCACCCTTGGACGCCACATCGCGATGGGCTACGCTGACCGCGCGGCAGCGACGGTGGGGCAGCTGGTGGAGATCGACGTGCGCGGACGCCGTGTACCGGGAGAGATCGTGCTACCGCGCTTCGTTTCCGCGCGGTACTACAAGGGCTGACGTCGCCGGGCGTAGGCGCAGCCTCCATAGTGGAGAGTATTTATATTTTCGTGTGTTGACTGTGTCTATCTCTCTCTCTTTATTTTTATATAATCTTTGTGTATGTGTCTGGCCGTATCTATCTGTCGATCTATCCATATATATATATATATATATATATATGTATATGGATAGATAGGTGCGTGCGTGCGTGAAGGGAAGAAGAGGGGCTGATGAACACATACATGCATATATCCACGTACACGCGGCGGGCGGAAACGCGACAGAAAGCACTGGGCGTTGCTGCTGTGCCGTAACGTGACGTGAAGTAACACGGGCGCGACCGTTGTGGAGTTGATTTGGGGTATCGGTGTAATACTTCTGTGATAGGGCATGAGGGCACGAAGGAAAAGACCGTAAGTTCTTTGCGTTGACCCGCCTGATTTTGATTATATTTTTCTTTTTATTTTCTTGCGTTTGTGTTATTTTGCTCGCGTTTTTGTGCTTTTGTTCGCTGATTCTCTTATATGCACCGCCCCCGTGGCGAAGCGTGCTTTGTGCCCTCCGCGACGACTCCCTTCCTTTT